TTTTTTTTAATTTCATTGAATGAAAGCAAAAAATGTCGGAAATTGCATCAGATTTTAGAATAAGTTTAGATTTGTTCGAATTGGTCACCTTTGGCACGAATTATGGCCTTCAAATGGTCAATAAAACCGTCCCACGCTGCCCAAATGTTGCTCTGCGGTATTTTGGCCCATTCCCGGCGAAGCGCTTGCTTGAGCTAATCGATACTTTGTTATTTTTTAGTGCCAACCTTGCATTCCAAAATACTCCAGAAACAATAGTCCAACGGATTGTTATCCGGAGATTTCGGTGGCCATTGTGTGCTGGAAATGAAGCGAGGAACATCATTTTGTAACCATTCTTGGGTGGTGCGTGCTGAATGCGATGGTGCTGAGTCCTGTTGGAATGTCCATGATCTGCGGCCAAAATGTTTGCGTGCCCAAGGCTTTAATACACCCTCCAGAACATTTTCGCGATAATATTCGGCATTTTTTCTGATGCCAAGGTCGATTAATAAGAGCAGAGAGCGAACGTCGGCTGTTATGGCGGCCTACACCATTACCATGGACGGCGCTTTAGTTCTGGTGGCCAACCGAAGGTGCACATTTTCAGCTGACCTCATTGGCAAGTAAACACGATCATTTTGTTTGCTTACAAACTGCTGGACGACAAATGTATTCTCATCGGAGAAAACCAAATTCGGCAGTTCACCAATTTCGGCCAAGCGAAACAACTCTTTAGCTCTTTTGAGTCTATTTTCTTTCTGTTGCGGAGTAAGTTCTTGCACTCTTTGGAATTTCATTTGCTTTACCCCGAGCTCATTTTTCAATATTTGCCGAATGGAATATTGCGATATGTTCAGCTCACGAGCCATTTTTCGGCCACTGCGACGCGGGTTTCGATCAAGTCGCTTCTTTACTTTTCGAACTATTTCTGCTGATGTTGTTCTTTTCTTCCGTCCATTTCCTTGACGTCGTGCTACGCTACCAGTATCACGATAACGAGCGATGGTACGAGACACAAAGGATTTATTCAAATTTAAATGCTGGAGTGCTCTAACGATAGCTAGCCACTTGTGGTTTTCCAGCCAAATATAAAGAACTCGCACTATCACTCTTGAATTCCATCACGAATAACTTTTTTTTTTGGAAAATTCTCACCAAAATGCTTTTGTACGCTCGTAAACAATATAATGAGCTGTCACTGGAATAATTTGAACAACTGTCGGACAAGAGGCTTAGAAATGACAGCAGTCTGAAGTTTGTTGCAGTTTTTTCATCTCACCATGTGAAAGTGCAAGAACTTACACCGCAACAAAAAGAAAAAATAGACTCATAAGAGCTTCGCTTGGCGGAAAGTGGTGAACTCCCGAATTTGGTTTTCTCCGATGAGAAAACATTCGTTGTCCAGCAGTTTGTAAACAAACAAAATTAAGGTCTGTTAAGATAAATTCCGAATTTAACTAGCGAGGACACAAACCACGAATTTAACATAGAAAATAACAGCGCTCTGTTAACGTTAACAGAGCCAAACGAATATAGTTTTTTCCTTAAAAATATTAATTTATATTAATTTTTTATATAAAACGGCCAAATAATACCCATATCTACACATCATAAATTATTGTTACAAAGACTGCAAGGTTACAACCATCTATTAACTGTAACACAATCGTATGTGGCAGGACATACTTTCAACCCACAACGCCTTCCAGGATCTTTCTTCTGGGTCAACATACATATCAATGGAAAGCTTATGAAGAGCACTATCCATTGACATCATAAAAAGTTTAGAATTTTCGGATAGTTTCCGAGGTATTTGACCATTTCTGGTGAAATCCTTTGAACAGGATAATTCCATTGGCCAATACGCTTTCCAGGATCTTTCTTCCGGGTCAACATACATATCAATGGAAAGCTTATGAAGAGCACTATCCATTGACATCATAAAAAGTTTAGAATTTTTGGATAGTTTCCGAGGTATTTGACTATTTCTGGTGAAATCCTTTGAACAGGATAATTCCATTGGCCAATACGCTTTCCAGGATCTTTCTTCCGGGTCAACATACATATCAATGGAAAGCTTATGAAGAGCACTATCCACTGACATCATAAAAAGTTTAGAATTTTTGGATAGTTTCCGAGGTATTTGACCATTTCTGGTGAAATCCTTTGAACAGTATAATTCCATTGGAAAATACGCTTTCCAGGATCTTTCTTCCGGATCAACATACATATCAATGTATGTTGGACCGTAAGAAAGATCCTGGAAGGCATACAGTCATATTTATTTAAAATAATTTCTCCAGAACTGGCTACTTAACATTAAACATTCGTGGTATGTTATTAACATATACAGGCATACAGTCATATTTATTTAAAATAATTTCTCCAGAATTGGCTACTTAACATTAAACATTCGTGGTATGTTATTAACATAGGAATGATCTATATTTGTGAATAACTCAAGCTGTCTTTGCGCCAAATGTATTGTTTGCTGTTTTATTGAGAGAGAGAGAGCTAAAACTGTTGTGATTTCATGCAAAATGTTTACATATGGCGAATAAACTAGCATCCACTCGGATGGTGCGGTAGTCTAACCTTCAAACTGGTCGTGTCGTGGGTCCCGGGTTCGATTCCCGGTCAAAGCATTTTTTACATATATATATAAAAATATATATAGAAATATATTTTTTTTTAATTTTTCTCTAATAACATTTCTATTTGATTCACTTTCCATTTATACCCATATTGTTCAGAAAAATCAGACTGAATGAACATTTTGCAATGGAATTACACTTTTTAAAATATTTCACCAGAACTGGTCAAATACCTCGGAAACTATCCAAAAATTCTAAACTTTTTATGATGTCAATGGATAGTGCTCTTCATAAGCTTTCCATTGATATGTATGTTGACCCGGAAGAAAGATCCTGGAAAGCGTATTGGCCAATGGAATTATCCTGTTCAAAGGATTTCAGCAGAAATGGTCAAATACCTCGGAAACTATCCGAAAATTCTAAAATTTTTATGATGTCAGTGGATAGTGCTCTTCATAAGCTTTCCATTGATATGTATGTTGACCCAGAAGAAAGATCCTGGAAGGCGTTGTGGGTTGAAAGTATGTCCTGCCACATACGATTGTGTTACAGTTAATAGATGGTTGTAACCTTGCAGTCTTTGTAACAATAATTTATGATGTGTAGATATGGGTATTATTTGGCCGTTTTATATAAAAAATTAATATAAATTAATATTTTTAAGGAAAAAACTATATTCGTTTGGCTCTGTTAACGTTAACAGAGCGCTGTTATTTTCTATGTTAAATTCGTGGTTTGTGTCCTCGCTAGTTAAATTCGGAATTTATCTTAACAGACCTACAAAATTATCGTGTATATTAGGCATAGTTGTCAGCTGAAAATGTACACTTTCGGTTGGCCACCAGAACTCAAGCGGCGACCGTGGTGATGGTTGTGATTGATACCGAATATTATCGCGAAAATATTCTGGAGGGTGTATTGAAGCCTTGGAACCGCTAACATTTTGACCGCAGAGCATGCACATTCCAACAGGACACAGCACCATCGCACCATTTCCAGCACACAATGTCCACCAAAATCTCCGGATACCAATCCGACGGAATATTATGTCTGGAGTATTTTGAAAAGCAAGATTGGCACTAAAAAACACCAAAGTGTCGATCACCTCAAGCAAGCGCTTCGGCGGGAATGGCCCAAAATAACGCAGAGCAACATCCGGGCAGCGTGTGACAGTTACATTGGCCGTTTGAAGGCCACAATTCGTGCCAAAGGTGACCAATTCGAACAAGTCTAAACTTATTCTAAAATTTAATGCTATTTCCGACATTTTTGGTTTCATTCAAAAAAATTAAAAAAGATGTAAAAATCATGGTATTTGACTTTGTTGCATTTGTTTGATCTCACCCTGTATAGGTCCAACTTTTGGTGTAACAGTTACATAATGATACCCCCGCTTTAGATATATTCCACAATATGTAGGATAGAGTTTCGACACACATTTGTATTTTGTCAGCAGGCAAGTTAAGTTCGAAAATGGGTCATGTCGGTTCACGGTTTCTTATAGCCCCCATATTACGGTACCTTAAAAATTTTGGTATTTTGACGATTTTAGCGACATTATAGACCGAAATTGTTTGAAGAATTGACAGTGAATTTCCACGTTTTCGTATGGCCCCCATATAATGGTACCTCTCGATATTCGGTATTTTCATGATTTTTGCGACATTTTCACCGGAATTGTTTCAGATTTCGTATTTAAATTTTTTAATGAGAACCACAGCCCTATGTATGTCCACGTCTTCATATAGTCCCCATATATCGGTTTTCTTTTAAGCGGTATTTTTCCGATTTTTTTTGACATTTTTCAAGTTTCTTCCAAATGGTGGAGGGTATTGATAGTTCGGCCCGGCCGAACTAAGTTGCTTTTTTACTTATTTCCATTTAATTTTACCAAATCTTGGCCATTTTTTCCAATCCATTTGGTTGAAAAGTTTTATTTTGGAGTTTTGCCTTTCCAAGCCAAGGTTTATTCGAACATTGAATTTCAAACATTTTTCGGACCCAAAATTATTATTATTTCTGCTTTGCTGGCACACCCTATTATACAAATAAACGTTATGCTCATTTGTATGCAAATAATTCTCTCCTACTTGGAGTGCTTTGAAAATTTACAATTATTTAATTGTAGCCGTTGATGGAAGACTGATAAACGATGAAAATTGGAATTAGAAGAAGAAGCATGACTGTCAAGTTTTCTTCCTTGACAACATCGGCTGGCCGACGACAGTGGTTGAAGTTTTTTCGTTTAGTTAGTAAAAGTGGCAATGAAAGGTCAAGTTGTTGCAATCGGCATACTTGTGGGAATATTTGCAGGAGTCCGCAGTCAAACGGCAATAAATACGGTAATTTTTATCGCTAGAGGTCAAATATTTAAAGAAAGGAAAATTAAATTAAGCAATTATTGTGACTTAATTTCAGTGTGATAGAATCCGACAACATAGCTATCCGCGTGAAACACACAACGTCACCACAAGTGATGGTTATATTTTGACATTATTTCGAATACCAAATTCAGGTCCAAATCGGAAGGCAACTCAGAATCCAGCCATGTCCTTCCCCGTCCTTATCATGCATTGTCTGTCATGTACCTCGGATATTTTTGTGGTTACCGGACCAAATGATGGCCTGGCTTTTTTGTTGGCCAATGCTGGATTTGATGTGTGGCTGGGCAACTCCCGCGGCAATAATTACGCCCAAAAACATATATCTCTCTCACCATACTCGGTGGATTTTTGGTCCTTTTCTCTGGATGAAATTGCCAAGATTGATATACCAACAAAAGTGGATTATATTCTCCAGGCGACAAATCGTAGCAAAGTACATTACATAGGTTACTCGCAAGGTGCTGCAGTTCTCATGATGTTACTCTCCACGAATCTGGCGTATGGCGAAAAAATAAAATCTACTCATTTATTGGCCCCTCCCATTTTTATGTGCCACATTCGTACACCTTTGGTGTATTTTCTGGCCCAATTTCTGGGCGAACCGGGACCTGCAGCGGAATTATTCGGAACATTTCCCAGTCAGGGGGCAACGGCTTTCCTAAGAACTCTGGGGCATTTGTTGTGTAAAAACCAACAAAATCAACTCTTTTGCAAGGAGGTGTCGAATTTCTTCAGTGGCTGGGGTTCAACCTATTTGAATATGGTAAGTCCACAGATGAAAATTTTCAATTTTCTATTTGAAATGTTTGACTTTCTACGTCAAATTTTGACGGAAATTTGATAATTCTCTCTTCCGAGTGAAGCTTATAATGACCTAAGGATATGACATTGAAAACTTCAATCTAGTCTAAGAAGTTTACAGCTACTTTTTCTATTCTTCCTGTTTTCAGACCATCTTACCGGAAATATTGCTCAGCACCCCAGCCGATGGTTCGAATCGTCAGTTCAATCAATTTTTACAATTTGAAAAAAACCTGTGAATTTAAGGCCTACGATTATGGTCGGGAGGGAAATATATTGAAATATGGCGCAGCCAAACCTCCGCAATATGATTTGGCGAATATTCACACCACGGAACCCATTGAAGTTTATTTTTCCGACAATGACAATATGGCACCGCTGGAAGCGTTGAAGGCTTTGCACAAAGTAATGGGTAATCGCTGCAATTGGAATCACCTAAAACTTAGTAAATATAACCATTTTGACTTCACCTTGGCCACAAATGTTGGCGTTTGTATTAACAGCTGTTTGGTGGCTAAATTGAGGATGTATGAGGGTCAACCGTTTGAGGAAAATCTATGTAAATATTTTACGAATAAAACATTTTGAAAATGCATATGTTGGGGAAATCTTATTTGGATTTTACACCCTTCAACACCTCGAAATATACATTTTAGACCTCACAAAGTACATATATTCTTGATCAGCATAAAATTCTGTCCGTCCGTCTATCTGTCTGTCCGTCCGTATGTCGAAATCATTCTAGTTTCGGACGAAATGAAGTAAGTTGACAAAATTTTACTCAGACGTGTGTTTGTTCTCCAAGGTCTTTTGGTATTGAAAATGGGCCATATAGGTCCAAGTTGCGGTGTAGCCTATATACACGGTATTTTGATGTAATTTTTCACCGGAATCGTTTCAAATTTCGTATTTGCGTTTCCTAATGTCTATATAGCTCCAGGTCTTGCTTTAGAACCCATATAACGGTACTTCCCTATATTCGGTATTTTGATGATTTTAGTGACATTATTCATCCGAATTGTTTCAAATTAGAAATTGGTACTAAAGTTTATGACAGAAAATTGTCTATTCATTTTAACAGAATTTGTAACGGATTATATTTTTATACCTTCAGTACCAAAAACTGAAGGGTTTGAGACCCTAGGTCTCTTTGAACCAAATCCGTTTCAGGACATTTGGAGTCGATCTAGCGATATCCGTCCTTCTGGCTGGTGCGCACGATAACTCTCGAAGGGAGTATCCGATTTGATCCAAACTTGGTACATCCTAATATTATGGTCAAACTTAAATCAAGTTAGGATATAGGCAATAGTGGTCCACTCTTTCTGGTACCCCCTACAAAAGGTCGACATTAAAAAAAATATTTTACTGCACAGAAAGAGAAAGAACAATCCGATGTTGCACCAACTTTGCATATCCTAATATTTTGATCAGTGCTAGGTAAGATGCGAAAATGGGCAATATCGGTCCACTATCAAATAATTATAACTCTTATAACATTTGATGTAAGAGTCCGATTGTCTTCAAATTAAACACATCAAAATATTTTTATTAATCAAAGGTCTGGTGTAAAGATGGAATATACCTGTTCACTCCTTTTGATACCACCCCCACAAAGGGTCAACATTTTGAATATTCCTGAAGTTCATAAAACTCGAAAACAACGTCCGATTCCATACAGACTTGGTACATCTCAATATTTCCATCAACACAAGATCTGTTATAAAGATGTTAGAGATCGAACCATTTTTTCTGGTACCTTCCCCATCAAGGGTCAAAATTTTGAACAACAAAACGATCATAAAATCCGAAGTAAGCATCCGGTTCTCTTCAAATTACACACATCACAATTTTTTCATTAACCCAAGGTCTGGTGTGAAAATGGGATATATCGGTCCACTCCTTCTGGCATTTCCCCCACAAAGCGTCAACATTTTGAGTATCCGTGAAGCTCATAAAACGCGAAATTAACAACAGATTCCATTCAGAATTGGTACATCTAAATATTTCCATTAACACAACATCCTTTTTGAAGATGGTAGAGATCGGACCATTTCTTTGCTACCTGTCCCACATAGGGTTCAAGGTTTTGAAAAACAAAACGCTCAAAGAAAAAGAAATAAGCATCCAACTCCCCTTAAATTTCACACATACAAACATTTTTGCTAATATAATATCTGTAGTGCAGGGTCACACTCGCTGATCTGAGTCGATCTAGCTATGGTGGTCCGTTTGTCTGTCCATGTTAATTTGTACAGATCGCAATTATAGCCCGATCTTCCCGAAATGGAGGTGGGGCTAGGGCCAGAATAGAAGCCTATTGCTTTTGGAGATGATCCTATGATGTTCAGGGGTTCAATTGAACCAAAAACAGGAAAATTTTCCTGATTACACAATTGAAGACAATCGACACGCCTGAGAATAGATTTAAGGACAAGTAAGAATTTTAGCATTTTGGATGACGATTGGATTATATTTGGCTGAAAAATGGACCACAGCAACTAACAGCACGACGGAGTGCGTAAATATTTATATTATATTTATATAGGTCCGATATGAAATGGACAATATTGGCTCATTCGTTCGGAACTTACTCCATAGAAAGTCAACAATTTAAATAATCATAACTCAAGGCTGGGGGGTATACATCAGTCGGAAAAACCGATTTTACTTGTTTTCTTGGAAGATGTTAACATTTCGAAGGAGGAGTTGACCGAACCATTTTCGATCTCGATCTAAATTTGACAATAATATTACGTTGTACCAAGTTTAGACCAAATCGGATGCTCCCTGCTAGAGCTATCGTGCGCACCAGCCAGACAGACAGACGGACGGATATCGCTAAATCGACTCCAAATGTCCAGAAACGGATTTGGTCCAAAGATGACCTGGGTTCAAAACCATTAATTGGTGAGGCACCTTTTTGCTGTATCAAATGATTTATACCCCTTCTAGCCATATGACTGAGGGTATAAAAACTCCACTCCTTCCGATGTTTCCCCCTAATCATTTCCATATAAAATTCACTGCAATCTGCAACACGTGAAATGATTTGAAATAAAAATAATTAATAATTCTAAAATAATGCAAATAATCAATCGTCTTTGAATTGTATGAATTTAATAATTCAATATTCTAATATTATTCCACACTCCGCGCAAATGAATTGAAATTAAGTCTTAGTTCGAATCTGAAAAATGAAAGCTCAATCGATTGTAATCAGTCTGGCGTTGCTGTTGGAAACTGTGAACGGCAATTTGTCTTTGAATACCGTAAATATAGACAACAAACATTTTAATTAAATATTGTTAATATTAATTATTGTTTAAAAGTGTGATCGAATTCTACAACATGGCTATCCCTGTGAAAATTACACAGTGACCACCCAAGATGGTTATCTCCCGACACTGTTTCGCACACCAGGTAACCCTCGTGGGAGGGAGAAACAAAATGAAGTAAAGAGTCCCCCGGTGTTGCTGATGCATTGTCTGCTCTGTTCATCGGACGTTTTCGTTTTGAATGGACCCAATGATGGTCTGCCCTTTATGCTAGCCGCTGGTGGTTATGATGTTTGGTTTGGAAATGCCCGAGGCAATACTTACTCCCAGAGGCACATCTATCTGTCCCCCACCTCGGAGAAATTTTGGGCATTTTCCCTCGATGAGATCGCCTTAATTGATTTGCCCACCACCATTGAATATATTTTGGCAGCGACAAATGAACAAAAATTACATTATATCGGCTACTCCCAAGGCTCTACGATATTTATGATGCTACAGTGCGCAAAACCTGAATATGGTCAGAAAATTATGACCTCACACTTAATGGCGCCTACGGTGTTTATGCGGCATGTGCGTTCACCTATTTTCCTGTATTTGGTGCCATTACTTGGTCCACCCAGTGATGCAGCGAATTTTCTTGGTACCTTTCCAATGCAAAATGTGATGGGAATGATAAGAATATTGGGTTGGCGCCTGTGCAACAGTCCTCCAATGGATGTAATTTGTTTACGTCTAATGCAGCTCATTGGTGGCTGAGATTCGCCATATCGAAACAGGGTATGTAGAAATCAAATGCATTTTTTTTATAAATGCGTTAAAAATACTTAACACCTTTAGACCCACCTGCCGGATTTTCTGCTCACCACTCCCGCGGATGGTTCAAATCTGCAAATCTATCAGTACTTACAATTTTCGCTGACCGGTGAGTTCAAGGCCTATGATTATGGCCTGCAGAAAAATATTCTCAAATATGAGGAGTCGAAACCACCAGTTTATAATTTGGAAAATATTCAAACAGATCTACCCATTGAATTTTATTTTGCCGACAATGATTACTTGGCAACCACAAAAGATTTGCAGGATTTACATGACCTCATTGGCGAGAAAGGCAACTGGAACCGTGTTAAGCTGAAAAAGTTTAATCATTTCGATTTTCTAGCGGTAAATGTTAAATATTGTTTAAACAATTGCATTTTAAAGAAAATAGAGATGAGTGAAGGTAAAATATTCAATAAGACTCTACGATATTTATTTTCGCAATAAAGCATTTTAAAAACTTCTTGAATAGTTGTTTAAATTCAACGGCCAATTGCTTAGGTATGTATTGAAGATCTCTGTCAGATTTCTTTTTTACATAACCTTACAAATTGTCCAGGCAAATCATTTCTTTAAGAGCCACTCGTTTAAGTACGAATTGTATTCAAAAAATATTTGATTTTTTTTTGATTTTTATTTATTACCAGTCACAGTAGAATAATAATAATAACCAAAAATACCCAAGTTGTGAGAGAGGAAAATCGGCAGATTTTTCTATTAACATCTACAGCTGTTTGCAACACAATGTCTAAAAACTAATCAATTTTAAAACAAGTAAGCAAAGGCTATAGTCGTGCGGGGCCGACCATGTGATAGCCTACAATACTACAATATGTTAGAAGCCCCTTTATGACCAAATCCATTTTGGAAGATTTCGCTTTTGAAATCATGTCACCAGGGACATTTGCCTAATATTTATGTACTCCGTCGTTATTTTAGTTGTGTGGCCCATTTTACAGCCAAATATAATCCAATGGTGATCTAAAATGCTAGAATTCTTCCGTGTCCTTATTTCTCATCTCAGACGTGTAGATTGGCTTCAATTGTGTGATCACGATTTTTTTTTTGCTTTTGGTGAACCCCTAAATATTTTGCGATTATCTCCAAAAGCAAGATGTTCCTCTGTATCTCCAAATTAAGACTCATCTATATGATATGCTTGTCTACGATATTTGGCTATATTCGTCAACGAAATTAGCATAAAAAAGCCAGAAGTTCGCCTTTTGTGTATTTCGGATATCGCCTGTAAGTAATGTTGGTAATTTTTCACACAAAAGTAGTGGTCCATTCTACCCGCTGTCCTAAACTCAAACTTCATCCGAGATTTAGTGTTCATTGGTTTATATTTGTGACCTTTATAACGGCTGCAAAATCAGGAGCATTCTTAGTTGTTGGTCCATTTCAACCCCTAAATATATTGCGGATAACAATAGACCTAGCTCTTCTAAGCCTAACCCTACCCTTATGAAAGGTTTGGACGATAATTGCAATCTGTATATAATAACCCCAACCTGTGTTGTAAGGTGAAAAAATACAAAATATACACTTTAATATTATAAGTCAAATTGAAAAAATCGCATGCGATAAAAATATGATAAAATAAAAAATGTCACAAAATACTACAAAATCTAAATTAACATTATTATTGGCATATTTTTCTGCAATTTTTTTAAATTTTATACCTTTATGTCAAGAGGGCATTCTGAATTGACAAATTTGTCAAAATCGGTCCAGCCATTCTTGAGATATAAGCATTCTAACTAACATCCCCTTCCTTTGTATATACACATTGTATATATTTCGTTATATATAACCGAATTGTCAGAATTGTCCTCTTCGTCGATTTGTGATTTCGGCGGGATTAAAAATATTCGCGGTTTAATGGAAAATTTGGCTTTTATGTAACACAAATGTTATGGTCTATTTCACCCACTAAATATTACCTGATGACGATCAAAATTGGAAGGTTTCTGCCCAGCCCTAAGTTCTAACCCCATGCTAACTTCCGCTTCGATTAGTCTATAATTGCGACCTGTAGAGCAACTGCAAATTAAGGAAAAGTTTCAGTTTTTGGTCCATTTCAACCCCTAAATATATTACGATCATCTCCAACAGCAATAGGGTTCTATTCTGACCCTAATCCCACCACCACTGTAAATTTCGAGAAGATCGGGACATAATTGCGACCTGTAGAGTGATTACAAATTAACATGGACAGACGGACAGACGGACGGACATACATAGCTAGATCGACTCAGCTCGGCGAGATAGGAAGATCCATATATACTTTCCTATGTGGGAAACCAATATTTCGAGGTGTTACATAATTTTTGGCCCAATCAAACTTATAATACCCCCACCACATAGTGTTGTAGGGTATAACAAGTATATACAGGGTGAGATGAAAAAACTGCAACCAACTTCAGACTGCTGTCACATCTAAGCAGCTCGACCGACAGCTGTTAAAATTATTCCAATGACAGCTCATTATATTATTTACAAGCGTACAAAAGCATTTTGGTGAGAATTTTTCGGAAGAAAAAAGTTATTCGTGATGGAATTCAAGCGTGATAGTGCGATTTCTTTATATTTGGAGATTGGAGCACTCCAGCATTTAAATATGAATAAATATTTTGTGACTCGTACCATCTTTCGTTACCGTGATACTGGAACCGTAGTCCGACATCAAAGAAGTGGATGGAAGAAAATATTAACATCAGCAGAAATTGTTCGAAGAGTAAAGAAGCGACTTGATCGAAACCCGCGTCACAGTGGCCGAATAATGGCTCGTGAGCTGAACATATCGCAGTATTCCATTCGGCCATTGGAATTCCAAAAAGTGCAAGAACTTACACCGCAACAGAAAGAAAATAGACTCAAAAGGGCTAAAGAGTTGTTTCGCTTGGCCGAAAGTGGTGAACTGCCGAATTTGGTTTTCTTCGATGAGAAAACATTCGTTGTCCAGCAGTTTGTCAACAAACAAAATGATCGTGTTTACTTGCCAAAGAGGTCAGCTGAAAATTTGCACCTTCGGTTGGCCACCAGAACTCAAGCGCCGGCCATGGTGATGGTGTGGGCCGCCATAACATGGATGGTCGCTCTCCGCTTGTTTTAATCGAATATTATCGCGAAAATATTCTGGAGGGTGTATTAAAGCCTTGGGCACGCAAACAGCAGGCCTTGGACATTCCAACAGGACTCAGCACCATCGCACTCAGCACGCGCCACTCAAGAATGGTTACAAAGTGGGGCTCCTCGCTTCATTTCCAGCGCACAATGGCTACCAAAATCTCCGTATTCCAATTCGTGGAAAGCAAGGTTGGCACTAAAAAATACCAAAGTGTCGATCACCTCAAGCAAGCGCTTCGCCGGGAAGAGCAACATTCGGGCAGCGTATGACGGTTTCATTGGCCGTTTGAAGGTCATAATTCGGGCCAAAGGTGACCAATTCGAACAAAACTAAACTTATTCTAAAATTTGAGATTTTTTGCTTTCATTCAATAAAATTTTAAAAAAATAATGTAAAAATTATAACGTTTGGCTGTGTTTCAGTTTTTTTATCTCACCCTGTAAATACGAAACTTGAAAAAAAAAGCTTAACATAATACTGTCCCTAAAATCGTAAAAATATCGAATATCGGGGATACCGTTTTGTGTGGGCTATACGATATCATGGATCGGTATAGACATTTCTCTTCCATGAGGTGCTTAGTGCTTAGGGAGAACTTCTAGTATTTATTTTTGGACAACTTCGGTGAATAATGTCCCTAAAATAGAATACCGAATATAGGGAGGTACCGTTATATGACTGCAATAATCAAAATTATTTCGATGGGTTACAAACGGAATGACGAACATAACATTCCTTCCATACTATGTATAATGGAAAAATGTTCCCCTGGTAAACATTACCCTGGTAAACATTACCAACAAACGTTGTTTTTATAAAAACAACAATAAAGGCATAAAGCCTGACTATTTTGCAACAACAGTTCCGTGCGAATTTAATACTATCTCTATAAATTCTGTTCTCCATTATGTGGCCTATGACCCCAACCCATTTGGTTTTTTTGGCCTAGTACCATTCTCTTTCTCCAAATTCACCAATTCATCAAGTAAATCAGGTATAATTTAGACTTTCTGACTTTACTAATTAAATCTGTTGTATCCTCTAGAATGAAATCTATTCAGCACTACCACAGGATATGTTATACGAGGAAGTCTGGGTCTGGGAAGGTACAAGAATTCTTTGGAATATTTGATGTTGGGAAAAGGGGCCCGTTCTAATTCCATTCTCATATTGTGCCTTAAAGAGGCTGTTAATTTTACTGACCTAGAATCATTACTCTTACTTAAAAATTACCAATCCGCCCACCCCTCCTCTGATTACCTGTCACCCCGTGAAATCGAATATTTATGGCCAGTTGTGTTGCAATGACGTTGGGTTAGTATGTCATATTAAAAAGCATAAAATACTTGTAGAAAATGTCTTACGAATGCATTTTTATTCTATGGAATAATATAGAATCCGATAGGTTATAACCTAACAATAGCTAGTCATTTGAGGACTATTAAACAATGCCAATTAAAATAATAATTAGCAGTTTATTCGACGTTGAAAATAACAATTCCAAGTGTTATATTTAGTCTGTCAGAACAACTCGAGGCGATGGAAGTTTATATAATTGTTATAGCGTTTTTCGTAGGAATTACGGGAGCGCAAATTGTCAGCGGTGGTCAGTTGGAGGTGAATACGGTAAGATTTGGAAATTTGATGAAATTTGAAAATGCTATTTATGTAATGAGGGAGTTTTTTGGTTAATGTTTTCAGTGTGATCGCATCCAACGACATGGCTATCCATGTGAGAATCACACAGTAACCACGCCAGATGGTTATATTTTGACCCTGTTTCGCCTGCCCCATGGTTGTCTGGAGATGTCAGACAAAGGAGAACCCAGGCCGGCAGTGCTAATAATGCATTGTCTGCTGTGTTCTTCGGATTTTTTCGTATTGAATGGACCCAATGATGGCTTACCCTTTATGTTGGCCGATGCTGGCTATGATGTTTGGTTGGGTAATGCGAGAGGGAATATCTACTCCCAGAGGCATGTCAATCTCTCATCCCTTTCTGAAGAATTTTGGGATTTTTCCCTTGATCAAATCGGTTTGATTGATGTGCCCACAAAAATTGATTACATCCTGAAAACCACCTCTGAATCTAAGTTACATTACATTGGATTTTCCCAAGGGACCACGGTGTTTATGATGTTGCTCTCCAGCCAACCAAGTTATGGTGAAAAAATAAAGACTGCCCATTTATTGGGTCCCGGAGTTTACTTTTGTCATCTTCGCTCACCTCCTGCGTTGTTGATTCAGAAATTCCTGGGCCGGCCCAGTGGACTGGCAAATATCATTGGCACTCTGCCAAGTCAGGGATTTACGGGGATTTTAAGGCTCCTCGGCAGTAATGTTTGTAAATTCCCACTCTTTACGGAATTGTGTATTGAAATATTGAATCTGTTTAGTGGCTGGGATTCGCCGTATTTGAATCGGGTAAGTTGTGAAACTATTCCAAAAATTTCGTAAAAAATAATAATATTTTTTGAAATTCTAGACCCTTTTGACGGACCTGCTAACTTCAACACCAGCCGATGGCTCGAATCAACAAATCAACCAATATATGCAGTTTATTACAAAGTGTGAATTTAAACGCTATGATTATGGCGCGGAGGGTAACCTTCGGAAATATGGAGATTCCAAGCCCCCCATTTATGATTTGAAAAATATTCACTTAGGTGAACCCATTGAATTTTATTTTGCCGTCAATGATTTTTTTGCAACCCCTGAGGATATTCACAGTTTGTTCGACGAAATTGGGATGCAAGGAAATTGGAATCGTGTGAAATTAAAGAAATATAATCACTTCGATTTGGTGTTATCGATAAATGTGAAGACCTGTATAAACAATTGTATTGTAGATAAATTGCTGAAATATGAAGGTAGACCCTTTAATGGGACTCTGTGTAAATGTTTCCGAAATAAAGCCTTTGAGGAAGGTTAACGATTTTTGTAAAATTAAATTATTCCATACTAGCTGCCCCGTTCGTACATATTTTTTAAAGCATAATAATTCACATATCTGGCTCATATTTGTGGACCTGGGAGATACCGTTTTTTGGGCACTATACTAAAATATATACCTATGTTGGAATTTTCAGCCAAATCGATTAGAAAATGTGTTGAAGACCCTCGAAATAGGTAAAATCAGGAGGTACCTATTAGCGCCACTCCGAAATATTAATCTACATTACAATTTTCCGCGAAGAGATTTTCTTACCCCTTAGAAATTAAAAATGTCAAATACGGGCTAATTCGATTGAAAAATATGGCCAAAACCCCGAAAATAGCAGAAATCAAGGGGCACCTTCATATGAAGGTTAAGCCAAAACGTGGAGCTATACCTATAAATTTTTGAAAGTCTGCTTTCTTCTTTCCAAAGGCTCAAATTGCCAACATTTGCCGAAATTATTTTGAAAACAAGGTAAAAAGTATCCTCAGCCACCGATCGTTTATTTGTAAATATATTCTGACTTTCGTTATGATTATTCACACTGTTGACCCTTTATGGGGGAGGTTTCATAATAGGGGGCCAATTTCGTATCGAACCTAAATAAATATGATATAAATATTGCGACGTGCCAGGTTGGGACTATATTGGTTACTTCTTTCACTTTAGATGAGATATTTGATAATTTTTAGAAAATTTCAATATGTGGCTGAGGTACCGGATATAATCGACCGAAGTATAGCATTTTCATGCTTCATCTAATACAGGTACAAACATTGATATGGGCAAAATTTAAAAAAAAAATCGAACATTTATATCCAATTTTATGCAAAATCATTAGCTCAATATTCATCTCTGGTTTTTGATTGACAGAATCTTTATTACCGATCTTAAGTTGATGAAAATATTGATATGTACCAAGTCTGGAATGGGATCAGTACTTAATTTCTGGATATTTAAAATTTTGACTCTTTGTGGGGGAAGTACCAGAAAGAGTGTGCCGATGTATACTATTTTCACATCAGATCTTGTATTAGTAAAAATACTCAGATGTGTGAAATTTGAAAAGAACCGGGTGCTTATTTCGTATTTTATGATCGTTTTCGTTATTCAAAATTATAACCCTTTTTGGGGGAGGTACCAGAAGGAATGGTCCGATTTCTACCATCTTTATAACAGATTTTGTGTTGATAGAAACATTGAGCTATGCCAAGTCTGAATGGAATCGGATGTTAATTTCGCGTTTTATGAGCTTCATAGTTATTCAAAATTCTGACCATATGTGACGAGGTACCAGAAGAAGTAGTCCGATATTTTCCATCTACATACCAGAACTTGGGTTAATAGAAATATTGTGATATGTCTAATTTGAAGAGAACTTAATGCTTATTTCGGATTTTATGATCGTTTTGGTCATTCAAAATTTTAACCTTTCGTGGGATAGGTATCAGAAGGAGTGGACCGATATAATCCACCTTCGCACCAAATCTTGGGCTTATCAAAATACTGTGCTGTGTGTAATTCGAACACAATTGGACTCTTACATCACATTTTATAAAAGTTCTAAATTTTCCAAATATTGACCCTTTGTGGGGAAGGTACTTGATGAAATGGACCGATATTGCCATTTTCGCACCTGAATTAGAACTTATGCAAATATTATGATTCGAAAAGTTGGAGCAAAATCGGATAATCCTTTCCCTTTCTGTGCAGTAAGTTATTTTCTTTAAAATTTTTGACATTTCGTGTGGGAGGTACCAGAAGGAGTGGACTGATATTGCCCATCTCCGAACTCGGTCTAAGTTGGAAAATAATATTACGATGTTCCAAATTTGCATCAAATCGGATAATTCCTTCTAGAGTTATCGTGTGAACCAGTCAGACAGACGGACTTCGTTATATCGACTCCAAATGTCCTGAAACCGATTTGGTCCAAAAAGGCCTAGGGTCTAATACAGTTATTTCGATGAGACACGTTTTGGCCGTATCAAATGATATATACCCTCTCTAGTCATATGGCTGAGAGTGTAATGAACAAAGAGTTATGGGGCTATGTTAAACGAATTTTTGTTCAGAAAGGCAGACAGGAGGTAGCCACATGATTGAAATCGATACTTCGATGAGGTAAAATTTGCCACTATCAGATTATATATACCCTCTTTATCCATGTGGCTATAACAAGGAAAATGTGACTTAGTACCGTCCGCCATTTGGAAAGTATAAATTTGGCGAACACGGTTTGACATACGGATGTACCTCTACTAAATCAAATTCGATTTATTTATTTTTTAACAAGTAAAAAAGCTGTAAATTCGGACAGACCCTCCACCGTATGGAACGAATTTAACAATTTCAAAAAAAAAAAAAAAAAAAAAAAAAAATCTGTTAAAATCTTGAAAAAACCGAATATAGCCGTTATATTAGGGTCCGTACGACGTGCACCTACATAGGCGTTGTTTGCCACAAGCCATTACCATATTCAAATTCGAAACTTGAAATAAACGGTGAATAAGCTAAAATCATCAAAATACCGTACATAGGGAGGTACCGTTATATCGGTGCTATACGGAGACCTGGACCTGCATAGACAATTTTCCACCTTAGTCTGTAGTATTCATTACGAACATCAAATATCAAATTTGAAACGATTCCGGTAAATAATGTCGCTAAAATCATTAAAATACCGAATATCGGGGGGTACCTTTATATGGGGGCTATAGGAAGACGTGGACCTGCACAGATAATTTTCTGTCTCTGTCTGTAGTATCCTTTACGAACTTCAAATACGAAATTTGAAACGATTCCGGTAAATAATGTCGCTAAAATCATCAAAATACCGAATATCGGGGGGTACCTTTATATGGGGGCTACATGAAAACGTGGACCTACATGGCCCATTTACGACAGACGGACAGGCATACAGCCAGACAGACGGACATGGCTAAATCTTCTTAGAAATTTACTGATCAAGAATATATATACTTTATTGGGTTCGACATGTGTATTTGGAGGAGGGTATAAAAAGATATAATCTTAAATTTTAATTTGGAATTTTCACAGACGAAGAAGTTGGTAGTTTCTAGCCAGTAAAATTTCCGGATATACAAAAAAATACGGATTTCAAAAAAAAATCTTAACCCAAACATTTTAATAAATGTTGATGAAGAGAGATCTTAAACCCCTTCTATTCAGGTTACTTTTCGATGTAATGTTTCAAAACTACGATGCAAGTGCCTTCTATTTTCAGTTCCAGTCGTCAGGCAGACGTCAGACGGAAGAATGACTCTAAATGTCCTAAAACGGATTTCATCCAAAAAATACTAAATTCGAAACAATTATATAAAAAATGGAAATAAAAATTTTAAAGATAAAATAAAGATTATAAAAATACCAAATATCGGGGGGTACCGTTATAAGGAGGCTGTATCAAAAATGGGTTTGTATTTAGATGGTACCCATTACAAACACCAGATATCAGATTTGAAACAATTCCGTTGAAAACATGTGGGTTAAATAATCAAAATACCGAATCTCCCGAGGTGCCAAGGATGTATACATTGTGCAGAACGGCTTTGCCACTTGTCCAGCTAATTTTACATGCATCCATGTTGACAAAAATCTTATGTTCAAATACTGTTCTCTAAGCAAACTTAAAAATACATGTATTGAAAAAATGTCTTTTTATACTCATACAAATTCAAATATTAACTCACAGATAAAATGATGTTGAAAGATCGGTTTCACCAACTTTTCCAGTCGAAACCCCCTAAAAATGTAAATTACATTAATTCTGTGATATTTAAACATGATATGGGTGATATTTTAAGGAGGCAGATCTTTTTGTCGACCTCCAATCTATAAATTTCAATCCAAAGTATTTGATACCGATCCCCCCACACAGAAATATTTTTAAAAAGGGTGGCAACACCTTTACAATCCATCTTATCGTTGTCGATCACCGTTCTCCGCTAATAAGCCCTTCACTCATACAGAGGGACGTTATGAAACCTAATTAATAATACACCAATATATTTGACACGAGGAATTGATAATTAGCGCTTACTTTCATAAATTAAATTCACATGCCACACATTTCAGCTCAATGTCGGTGCATTTTAGATTTCGTAATAAAATAAATACAAGTACGGGCACTTAATACTGACAAATTACTGATATTATTAGGAATTTATTTTTATTTATTTTATTATATCATTATTATTTTATAAAATGCATTTTTATTCACGATACCGTTACGATACTTCTGCTTTATTACTTATTTTTATTATGAATGAAACCTTTTCATTCATTTCATTAACAGATATTGTATTTTGAATAAAATTATTAATTATTTGAATTAATTCATTGTCTTTTTTTCTAATGAAATGTGCCTACTACGGGATAAAATTGAAAAGGTGCCGACTACAAATATTAATAATGGCTGATGCTGGGAAAAATAAATGGTTTTGATGTGCAGATGTAGAGGTATTAATTTAAACAAATAATCTGTTAATAGGATTTAAAAAAATCACGCCGATGTCCATTACGTTAAGCTAAGTTGGCAGCTAAATTCGGTCGGGCTGATTTGGGGTTTTAAGTCCCTCACATGCGTAATATGCACTCCACAAGAACAATATTTGATACCAGTCTGATAAAGCCCAGAAATACCTCTGTCAAATTTCATCGAGGTCGGATCAGATTTGGATATAGCTCCCATATATATCTTTATGCAGTATCAGGTTTATTGTGCACCAAATGGCTAATATCAGCCCAGATGGACTGAATTTAGTCTAGGTGACTGTGAAAAATCAGTTTAGATGTAGCTATAGCTCCCATATACATGTTTCATCCGATTTGGTGTTTAAGTCCCTCACATGCATAATATACACTCCACAAGAATAATATTTGGTACCAGATATCAAATACAGCCCAGAAATACCCCTGCCAAATTTTATCGAGACCGGTTCAGATTTGGACATAGCTCCCATATATATCTTTATTCGATATTAGGG